AAAATCATTACCGACGTCTGTATATTATTTGTCCAAATCATTCGTTTTTGTAATTTATAATGTGTATTATTTAATATTGTTGAAACCCTTATATTTTTATTATTTATATGTCAAAATTAATTGTATTGGCATTTAAAACATGTTTAATAATTTGATCATAATATTAATACATTTTTTCATATTATTAAAATTTATTCTGTTAAAGATTTCTAACGATATTTGTTTAATGCATCCATACTGTTATTGTATCTAACATATTTATTCGTTTTACTAATATTTTCTAACGTTATTAGCTAATATTTTCGAACATAAATTATATCTTTATTCATACAGACAGACTTTTGTTATATATGTGTAATCACTTCTAACCTAGTCTAATTAAACATGCACACAACAAATAATGCTGAACATAATATTTTAAATGTTAAATTCCTTTTCTTTTGTAAATTCAAAAAAACATTTATTTGTTTAACATGCTCAAAAAAAAAAAAAAAAAAAAAAAAATTAATCATACTACAAAATGTAATAGTGGATATTTAGGGTTTTTATCTGACTATAATTTGGCTTGATAACACATTTTCAAAATGTCAAATGTCAGGGTTAAAGTTCATAGCCATAGGACAAGGTCCTTATATCACAACAACCACATGTGGTAGAAAGTTAATTTTGGTGCCAAGTTGCTTGGAACATTTATGTTTCTATTTGCTCCAAGAGAACATTTTGTGATTATTTATAATAAAAAAAAACTACCAACTTGTGATCCGTTGGTATGTTTTCCTTTTTTTTTTTCACGCAAATCCTGGTGCCACCCCTGCTACTAATTCAGGTTTAGAAGAAAAGCACAGCAGAAAACTCAACTTGTTTTCAATACTTTCAACTTCCGAATAATAAGAAAGTTTTATACCTTTTGATGATTCCAGTGCGTCAATGATGGTTATAAATTCATAAATATCCATCTTGACTGTCAACCTCCGTAGCATCTCCAGGCTGGCCTTGTGTAAGTACTTCCTATCAATAACATTCAGCTCTACCTTTGTAAACCCTAAGAGTGTTCCAATTTTCTTCCAGTTCTTCTTTATTTTGCTAGATACCATTTCCAGTTTCCATTCTAAATTGAATATGTATAAAACAAGATATCCAAGCTTTCTCCCAGACAAATATTGGTGGGTCAACTCAAGTGTAACGATGGGCTCGGCCCGGAATAATTGTTCCATTAGAATAGTCTGAAGAATAATTAATGGTGCAAACCAGCCTTATTTCTACTGTAGGATCAACATACCAATCACTCAGTGAGACAACTGGCTGCTAAATGGTAGGTCTACAATACTAGAAATTCTTACTGCCAGTGACCACTGATACAGAATGAATGATGTTCATCATTGCATAGAAAAATCAAAATAAACCATCTACTGTTCCTGCAGTAGTAGTTATCTATTATCATCTTTATTGTTGTGGTAAGCTTCAGGTTATTCACAACATCAAATGAGAAAGTGTGTTTATGGGTTTATATAGTCATAAAGAGTATAGAATTGCAAAGGGTCTGACTGCCCTGATTTTGTATGCACACCCAATTGAAAAAAAAAAATTTGTCATTAAAAACTGGAACCTTCCCTAACTTGTGGAAAAATGCAAGGATATCCAATTTTTTTAAATGGTGATCGCAAAGAGTCATGTAATTATCGTCCCGTGTCTATTTTGTCCATTTTATCTAAACGTGCTGTTTTTGATTCAATATATCCTTTCATTGACCCTCTAATTTATAAACAACAATCAGGATTCCGACCAAATTTCTCAACTACTTCCGCTCTGTTAAACATTACTGAAGACTGGATTGACGCGATTAATAAAGGTAATCTTATAGGATTAGTAATGTTAGATCTTAAAAGCTCTTTTGACACTGTTGACCATGATCATTTAATTAATAAGCTAAACAACTTCCATCTTTATCCACATGTAATAAAATGGTTTAAAAATTATCTGCAAACCCGAAACACACGTAACTAAAATAATCGAAGAGAAAGCTGCCGTAGCACTTGCGGGATACCACAAGGCTTGGATCATTAATATTTATGCTTTACTGTTTACATAAACGACCTCCCAAACTGTGTTTCTAATTGTAAAACAAGTATTTATGCAGATAATACAGTAATCCATTGTATTGCAGGGAATGTAAATGATATAGCAAATATATTAAATTCTGATCTAATAAATGTTAAAAACTGGCTAATAAAAAACATATTTACTTTAAATGTCAACAAAACTGAATATACGATTATAAGTACTCATCAAAAATTAATTACTCAAATCTAAATATAAACATCAATGATGTAAACATAAAGAATGATGATTACTGTATACACCTAGGGGTAATCATAGATAAAAATCGAACTTGGAATAAACAAATTGATGTTATAAACAAGTCAATAATTGCACCACATTATAATTATTGCAATGTTTGTGGGGACAATGCAATCAAACTCTACAAAATAAAATTCAAATATTGTGTAAAATAGGGCTGCTAAAATTATTGCAAAGGTCTCAAGATATGATTCAAGTTCAGAAGCACTCACAAACTTAAACTGGAATAATTTAAACACCCAACTGGGGTATTGCTAAACCCTGCAAAACCTCCAAAAAAACACAACAAACCCAATCCAAACCTTGTGATAGTGATTGAATCATGTAGAATATGACTCACCTGGTATCTTAGTAAAAAAAAATTATAATTTTATGTTTGTAACAACCTACTTTTTGGGTAAAAAGGCCATTTTTTGTATAAAACATTGCTAAACCCCCATGTATAATTTGGGTTTTTCTTTTTTCTTTTATTCTTCTTAATTTTTTGTTCTGTATAATATTTTAACTCTAACTTAATAATTTTAACTGTTGTATTCTTAACTTTAAGAAGACTGGGCCATTTTGAAAAGCAGTACTGCGCTATTGGAAAATGCTATCCAGTCGAAAGAAAGAATAAATAATAAAAGACAAGCCAAACCAGTCACTTGTCGCAAATCCTGTTTTAGAGATAATGGCCAAAAGATGCTGGAATGTCAAAATTTTTTAGATCACTTTACTAAACTAACCTTGGTATACCAAAGACTTTTAACTGTCACCAGGATAGGAAGCTGGCCGCTAAAGCCATCTTTCTTGAATTAGCCTTATGTACGGTATTGTTATGCTAATGAGGCAAAAAGCACAATCTGCACATGCTCAGAAAACCAAAACTTTCCTTAGCTACACCATGGCCACATAAAATGACGATTGTTAATGATTTGGTCATGGTTTCTACCTAAAAAATGCCCAAAATCAAATTTTTAAGGCTTATTTCTCAAATATTGTTCTTTAAACAGCTGTATGTTTAAACTCCTGTAACTTCATAACGAAATGTCGGATTTAAATTTTTCTTTTACCATTTTATAGCTCTCATTGTATTAATAACTAAAAATAGATTTTTGGAACGAGTAACTGGTTTGGCTCATCTTTACAACATATAAATAAATGCATACCTGAAATGTCTCTGACGATATTTAGAAGACTTCCAATTGACTCACACTTCTGGTTACTGTATGCTTCCATATCATAGGTATTGTAGGACATGTGATGATCCAATTTCTGTAGAATATCATCTTCATGCACTCTCTCTACATGTTTCAAACATTGTGCTATTGAAAAAAAACCTGAGGCCTTTGTTCTTAACCATGGTTTCAGCAACTTATCCGCATCTCTACCTAGAAATCCTATTGCAAACACCCTCGCCATATCTAAATATTTATTAGATAGCATTTCTTCAAATTCATAAAGTTTTAAACTATCTTTGTCAATTTGTGTAGACAGGTACAGGCCTGCTAGACCCTCTGAAATGAGTTTGTGTGGGGGTGTATAAATTTCCCTTACATCACCTGGATTAATTGGGGCATCTTCATAAACAAACCCTAGTTCCAGTGCTAAATATGTTATTTCTTCATTCTTTGTCGCCTTTGACAAATCGTATTTGTCAATAACTAAAAGATTTTGCTTTAGTCCTTTATACATACATTCTCCTAAAACTAAAAGGGCAGACATATATTTATCTGGAATTCTGTCAAAATTATCAACCACAGATCCAATGCCAGTCCTGTGTATGTATTGATTGAGAGTACAATAAATGAGTTCTTTGAAGAGATCTAACAAGTATATGGGAAGAGCACGTTTGTGTTGCCACATGGTACAAATTGTAAGCAAGAACAGTGGAGATGAACACAATTCAAATGCTTCTTTGTGATCACCACCCCAATACATTGTATACTCTGAATCAAGTCTGAACTCTTTTATTAGCAATTCACCAACTTCGGTTGCACCAATAATTTGAAAATACTTATGAATATATTTCTTTATGTTTCTTGCACTGAAACCCTTTACTTCAATGTGTACATCACAGCATTTAACTAAATCAGCTGTGTTTTCAGGTCGAGATGTTATCACCACAGTGCTTTTTTGCAATTCACTTCCTTCAAATAGATCAAATGGGTCTTTAGCATTCCTTTCTAACTCATCATATCCATCTAACAAAATTACTATTTCATTGTCATGTTTGACCAGGAATCTTTCAACTGAATCATTCAAATCATTCTCTTTAATTATTCTAATTGAATCAATTTTTTTCATAATCATGTCCAAGAACGTGACACTTGCTTTAATTTCTTTGATATTCATCATAAACAGTAATTTATCAGCAAAGACATGTTCCTCATCAGTAGCCCACTGATGAGCAATATATCTAAGGATGGTAGTCTTGCCCATTCCTCCCTTCCCTGTTATTAATACCTTACATGAATCTGTTGATTTAATAACATCTAATGCATCTTTTAATGATGTGGGTTTTTCTTCCTTTTTTTTATATGTCGACTTGTGAGGTGCTTTTCTGTCTATTTTTCTGGATTGCAGCAAGTTGAGTTCAGTGAACACTTCTGCAATATCTATTTCGTAATGATGATGCCAGACTGCTGGTGTTATTCGATTCACATCCCTATATATATGTTTCTGTCTTGTTGTTAGGGCATCTTTGATGATTTTATCTGAAATAGTTCAAAACAAATAACAATATATTCTTAAGAATGATGTTTTGCCCTACCTAACATGTTTTTGTACCGAATACTCAGTACGTTCCCAAATACTCGTGAAAGAACTTGCATCAAAATAGCATTTCATTTATTTCTCCTTATACATACAAAAACTCACAACAAAGAACAGCTAATCATCATATGCACGTGTTGATAAATGAGATTTAAAATTCCTAGTAAATAAATTTATATAAATTACAAGGAGATCCCTAATTTTGGAAAGGATAGTCTCCCAAAATCTAGGGAAAACATTAAATACTGTATTTTGAAAACAAGTCGTTCGAGAAAAGGAGTGAATAAATTTGAGATGATCTGTATGACGAGTATTGATTGAAATATAAGAAAAAACATCAACTAAATAGTGACCAAATAAACATTTACAAATATAAGATATAGCTAAAAATTGAAATCTGTTTAACAGAAAGCAATTTAAGATGAATTAATCTATCGCTGTAAGTATATTTAATAACTGTGCGAGCAAAGCACATCCGTGTTGCTTGTCTTTGAATTCATTCTAATGTGTCTACATGGCAGAGTTGATGAGGTAGCTTTAATGTTGTACTGTCGGTAGTGTATCATGTAACTACGCATACATTAAATGAAGTACAAACACTAGAACTCATCATATGGTTCTCTGCCTTTATTCATTCATCATCATTATGGCTCCTCTCTAAGTTTTCAACCTTAACGCCAATAGGTGGCGCTACTGCCAATATTGTAAATAATCACAACACCACATCCCCCTTAACCTCGAATAGAACCTTAACTCAATAACTTTTATAACACTAAACATTTCCCTGTTAAAACTCTGAACAACTGTTTTCTTTATAAACACAAAACTAAAACTTCTTGGTTGTGACAAAATCACTATCAATGTAACTTGTCAATCTAGATTTATAAATCTTAACTTGCTTGCTTAGTTCATTATAAACTCATTATACCTTTTTGGCATTTTTCTGTTTCTAAGACTCTTTCTTGTTATTGTTTGCTTTGACAAAGTTTTCCCTTTTTCCTTTCCCCCACTTTCTTCGGTTATAGAATCACCTTCTACAATACTATCCAGCTCTACGTCACTTAAGGGATCATCTATTTCCTTTATACCTGTCTCTTATACACATCTTTTCCATCGACTTTACGAATCTCATCGTCATTTCTAGCTATAGTTATCTCTGGTAAGCGAGTAGACATTTTTCGCCCATTCAAAAGTTCCATTGGGGATATCTGTGTTGTAGTGTGTGGCGTTGCTCTGTATTGTCGCAAGTATTCGTACAACACTTGTGTGTTTCGGTGTTCGATACTTGCTATTAAGAGAGTTTTCTTAAATTTGACATGAATCGTTCTACTTCCGCATTTGCACGTGGCCACAATGGTGTTATTTGTTTATGTTTAAACCCGTGATATTCTGCGTATTGTCGAAATTCATTGCTTGTGAATGGCGGACCGTTTCGGTTTGGATGATCTCTGGAATTCCTTGTCGTGCTAGTATAGCATCGAGTTTTGGCAATACTGCTTGTGCCGACATCGATGTTACAATTTCGACCTCTGGAAAACGGCTATATAAATCGTATACGACCAAAAGATATTTTCTATTTGGTAATGGCCTTTTAAAGTCCATTTGAACTTCCTTCCAGGGTGCTTTTAGCATGCTTGACATTTTTAAGGGTTCAATGCATTCTGCATTTTGCGCATTTGATGCCTGACATGTAACACATTCTTTTACCTTTCCCGTGACTAATTTATCTATCCCTGGAAACCAGACCTTTTCTCGAATTAAGGCCTTCGTCTTCACAATGCCATGATGACTAGCGTGTGCGATTTCTACCACTTTATTACGTAATGATTTGGGTATAACTATAGTATGTCCTCTGAGTATGATGTCGTCCGTTACTGTCAACTCATCTTTTAACTGCTTAAATTCGCGAAGTTCAGCTTTGTTCCACAACGCATGATTATTCTGTTCAATTGCCTGTTTCAATTTCTGTAGTTGGCTATCAACTTTGCTTTCAGCCTCAATATCACTCAGTTTCATCGCCTTTGGGATTGCGTTGCGTACAATATAATTAACATGCGCAACAGTTTGCTGTTCTTCAGTGACTTGTGTTGTCTTGTTTGGGTGTCGACTTAAATAGTCAGCCGGGTTGTTGTGTCCAGGTTGGTACTCCAACTCGTAATTATATGGCATTAATCTTAACCTCCAGCGTTCAATTCGTGTGCTCATTGGCTTGTTATGGTTGAATATGCTGAGTAATGGTTTATGGTCAGTCATTATCTGAAATCTTGCTCCATATAAATACAAATGAAAATTTTCAGCACCGAAAACGACAGCTAACATTTCCCGCTCTGTTTGCGAGTATCGCTGTTCTACACCGGTCAACGATCTGCTAGCGTATCTTATAACTTTGCCATCTTGGCAGAGCATAGCGGCTAATCCTGTTGGGCTTGCATCCACTAACACCTGCGAGTCTTTCTGAATGTCGAAGTATGTCATCACTGTGGGGCTGATGAGGGCGGCTTTAAGTTTAATAAAAGCTTGTTCTTGGATGTCTGTCCATTTGAAATAGACATTCTTTCGCATCAATTCACGCAGCGATGTTGTCAGTGATGCATAATCGGGGATAAATCTCGCCACATATTGTGTTAGTCCGAGAAAAGATTGAACTTCGCTTGCATTCGTTGGTCGTGGAGCGTTTTGAATATCTTCAACTTTCTGGGGATCAACTGCCAAGTCCTTACTGTTGAAAATATGACCATAGAATTTTACTTCATGTGTTCTGAACACACATTTTTCTTTGTTTAGCGTAACTCCATGCTGCTGTAGTCGCTCTAAGGTCGCTTTCAAATTTTCATCGTGTTCTTGTTCATTTCGTCCAAAAATAACAATGTCGTCCGAGATATTTTTACAGCCTTTAAGCCCGTACAACAGTTTTCCTACTTCAGCTGAGAAAATTTCTGAAACTGCATTGACACCAAATATCAACCTTTTATATCTATATAGACAGGAATGAGTGGTAAAGGTAGTAAGAAATCTAGAACTGATGGTAACCTGATCGTACATCTAATTTACTATACACAGTGGCACCATTAAGGTCACTTACTACGTCATCTAATGTGGGGATTGGGTGACGTTCTCTGAAAATCGCCTTATTACCCTGTCTCATATCAACACAGATTCTTATAAACCCATTACCTTTTGGTACAACGACGATTGGGCTTACCCAGGGTGTTGGACCTTCTACCTTTTCGATTATATCCAAATCCATCAATCTATTTAACTCCTTATCTACATCTTTTCTTATGTGAAATGGAATCCTTCTGTGTTTTTGCTGTGTGGGTTTTACAGTTGGATCAACATGTAGTTTAACTTCAACCCCTTTAAATTTTCTAATCCCGTCAAAAATTGGGTACTTGTCAACAATTTCTGAGTGTATGGACTGTACACCATCATCATTATCAGTAACATTTGTTGCATTATTAGTAGGAATATTTGTAGCTCTAATATCCATTACATTATTGTTACAAGTCACTTTAACCAAGTTAAGCTTTTCCGCCGACATCCATGAGAGTATGTTACCAACATTGCCATCAACAATGTAAACATCATCCTCACATTTTACCTCATTTTCTGCATGGAACGTTACCTTACAAACACCTCTAGTTTTCAATGGTTCGTCACTACCAAAACCATAAATTTTAACATGAGTTTTCTGAAGCATAGGCTTTTTCTTAAAGTTATCAAATACTTCACTTGCCATAATGTTAACTGAGGCACCCGTATCTATAATGAATCTGACAAACTCATTATCAACTCTAATTGTACTACTGAGAAGTTTACTTTCTGGGATACCAAATACATACTCATTATGACCATTTTCACTACAATTTGTATCATATTCTTCACTACTGTCATGTATTACAGTATGAACCTTAGGTCTAGTAAACTTGTTTGTTTGTTTCATTTCAGGTGATCTACATACGTTAGCAAAATGATTACGTTTGTGACACTTCTTACAAACTTTGCCGTATGCCGGACATTTTCTTATTTCATGATCTCTACCACAATATGTACATTGTTTCACCATATCTTTACTGTTAGGCCTATGTGATACCTTTTTACGTTTATCATACAGTCTATTAACACTGTCTTTACTTGTACTTTGTGCAATGTCTGTTGACTGCAATTCTGCTTGTTCATTTGATCGTGCTAACAGTAAGATGTCATTTAATGTTCTTTCTTTTTCTAACAGCTTTCGCCGAAATTTATCTGAAGCACATCCAGCTAATATCAGAGTTTTAATTTCTCGGTCAATGTCAGAAAAATCACATTTAACTGCCTGTTGGTGCAACCTGGTATAATATTCTTGCATGAGTTCACCCTTGTTTTGCAGAAGCCTTCTAAAAACCAATGATTCATAATCTTTGTTATTTTGGGGATTGAAATGGAAGCTTAAGAGTTTCTTTACTATATCATAACTTGGCGTAGCAGTAGCTCTGCTTGTACTACTACTCGATCCCGACGCACTACTCGAAGACGCACCTGGTTGTGACGTCACTGCTGCACTAGAGCCATCTGCCGCGGCAGTTGTAGGTCTAGGCCTGGAAGTAGGTTGTTTTAATAGAACATCTACTTCATCCTGGAGATCTGGGCCTCCATAAAATAATAATAGTGCTTTCTTCCTATTATCATCGGTTATGTTATTTGCTATTAGGCCAATCTCAAAATGCCTTATCCATCTGTCCCATCGTCAGGGACGATCAGCATGACTATGGGTAAAGGTAAAGGTAGGAGATTTGACTAACTTTTATCTCTTCTGCCATGTAGGGTGATGATCCTCGTCGCCAATGTAATGTTGTACTGTCGGTAGTATATCATGTAACTACGCATACATTAAATGAAGTTCAAACACTAGAACTCATCATATGGTTCTCTGCCTTTATTCACTCATCATCATTATGGCTCCTCTCTAAGTTTCCAACATTAACACCAATAGGTGGCGCTACTGCCATATTGTAAATAATCACAACACCACAGTAGCCATACTGGAACACCAAACTCCATTATGGGGCGCACCAGCACAGTATATAACTTAAAAGTAGTATATGGATTATTGCACAGAACTAACCTTTTGATGAAACCTAAAAGCCTTAAAGCTCTTAAAGCAACATGAGCGACATTTTTACCCCAACCAAGATCAGACGAAACAATACCAAGGTAATTATGTGAGTCAACAATAGCAAGTGCAGACCCGTTTACAGAATAACTTTTATCAGATCTTCTTCTGATTACAGAGCGTGCAATTTGTAATATTTGCATTTTGCAGAATTAAGAACCATTCCACTCTTCTCACTCCATTCGCAAATATGGTTAAGATCTTGCTAAAGAGTATGTTCATCGTCAGATTAACGAATAGCCCGGTACAAAACAGTATCGTCAGCATACAAGGTCATACAAGAGTCAATAAAGACGGGAAGATCAGAAACAAATAAATTAAAAATATAGGACCAAGGACAGAACCTTGGGGAACCCCAGAAGACATGGTAGAAAGTGGACATAAAACCTGTGATTTTGTCTGCCACAACCCTCTCTAGCAGTTTCCCCCCACTGAACAAAGGGAGATCGGCCTGTAATTTTTTAAACAGGATCTTTTACTTTTAAAAAGTGGAATAATATTTGCAAATTTCCAATCCATCGGGATCGTAAGTTCAAGAGATAAATTAAAAATTCTACATTAAGTTTCTATAAAATATATTTCACTTATTTTTAACATAGAAGATGTAAATTCCATCAGGTTCAGGTGATTTTCTATATTTTAGTTTATTAATTTAAGAATTTCCGATGGAGTAACTTTTACATTGCTAAGAGAAGGTCTACATTGATGATCTTCACATAAATTAATTGGTGGCCTTATTGGTGCCTTTTCATCTGAGTAAACATACGAAAAATGTTGATTAAAAGCATTAGCTATTTAGTTGGGATCATCAGTAAGTGACCCTCCTATTACAAATTCTGAAGCATATGGTTTTATTTTACACGAACGAATGTAAGAGCAAAATGCTTTACCATTATCTGAACATTGTCAGCAAGATCAGAAATGAGCTTCTGATTTTGTATTTTAGTATATTTCTAAAAACTTTGTAGGCTTCCCACTTAGTAGGCAGTTCATACTAACAGCAAGTTTGTGGAGTCTGTTTTAAAAAGTCATTTTAATTATTTAATCCGATATCTAAGGTTTCTTTGGTCTCTTATTTGATTTTTGTGAGATACAAGTTTATAAATATTATTGAGAAAAACTAGTTTAAATTCCTTCCATACATCATTAATGTTATTTACGTTATTAAAACTGTGCTCCCAAGAAATGCTTGAAAAAGTTTCAATAAAATTATTTATATTCATTTTAGAATATTGAAAAAAAAAAACTATATATTATTATTATTATTAAATTGTTGTAAATCACAGATGATTAGCTGTGTCACTCTCCAGGGAAGAGTGGCAGATTAGCACTTTTTTTGTTACTTTTTTTGTTATTGCATCAAATTACGATATAATTAAAAATACAACATCATTATCATGATGGGGCATCTTTACAAACAAATCCAAAAGCACTTTTTTGTTATTGCATCAAATTACGATATAATTAAAAATACAACATCATTATCATGGCTTTACGTACTATTATTCAGTCATGAGCTAAAAAATTAAAAATTTTAATTCCACATTTGAATAGCTTCATTTGTCTATTTAAGTAAAACTTAAATTAAAATTTGAATCAAAAGAAAAAATTCCCCAATCAATTTTCAGTCAGCTTTTGTGTATTAAGCCCCTTTCAGACAGAAAATACCGCATTTATACCATAGTCATGCCGGTGCTATTGCCGGTGTAGACCCTTTCACACAATTAGTAAAAATCCAGTATAAATACAGTATCTTGCCTGAAAGGGGTCTGGCACAAAAGGAGTATTTTGCGTCTGTAAACAAAGAGGGCGCAATTTTATACTGGCAACCTTAATCTAAAAACCAACTCTTCAACAAAAATGTTTCACACTTTGACCTCTGATTTGTTATGCTTCAGTGCGTTAAACGCCAATGAACCGCTACGGTATTAATGCGGTATTTTGACTAGGTCCCAAAGAAGTCTAACCTAAGCCGGCGTTTAGGCGTATTTACCCTTTAACATAGAATGCTGCTGTTTGCGAAAAACGGTATTAATACCATATTGCAGCTCTATGTGAAAGCAGCTTTAATTTCTTTTGCGTAGATCTTTAAATTGGCTGGTAACCAATTTAAGGATTTTTTAAAGTAAAATGTCTATAAATCAGATGAAAACTACTTTCCTCTATCAGTTTCTCATTGGAAGTTAATAGTTTATTTCATCATTTCAAATGAGCAAACTGTTTTTACAGAGATGACAGACAGGAACATTGAAATTAAAACATAGAGATAAGATTACAATTAAACTGTGAATCACGACAATATAGAATGTAAATGACCAGGGAATTAAAGTGAAGTCCTTTAAAATAGTGCAAAAATGCCAACAATATTTATTACTAGTATTTACCTGTTTCCTCCATACTTTCTGACATGAGCTCTACTTCTCACAGCTACATTTACTAAATACTTGCAATCAAACTGTTGTAGATTTACAAATGTTCCACTAAAAGATAAAAAAATAAGTAGCTTTGTAAACAATTCAGACCCTACAATATGTGTTACTACTCAGTGTCAGTTGATTAAGCAAGCCAGAGGTGAACAGGGCCCCGAAGAATGGAGCCAAAATATCCAATACAGCGCAGCGGGCGAGTAATAATAAGTTTGTTTACTTCATTGCCACTACGACTAACATTGAATTATGACATTAGGACATTTATTAATATTAGGTGCTTTATAAATATTGATTATTATTATTATTAATAGTACTGTAAAACATATGGTCGGAATGGCTAATAAACAATACAAAGCTACAATGTCAATAATAATACTGAGAAAACTCCACAAATTTAGTAACAACATGCAATATTGTCAGATTTAATAGATACACCATTCACTGAACAGCTAAATAGACTACCTACCTAATACTGTTGCAATATCAAATTATGTATGTGGTATATATTTATTTCAACAATGTTGTCTAGTTCAGGACTTGAAATTAAGGGTTATTTGGTCGCATTTGCGACCTAATTTTTTAAGGTGCGACAAGGAATTCAACTTTGTCGCGCTCAATGCGACAAGGTCATTTGATAGCGCGAGTAAATTTTGTAAGCGGCAGGAAGGTGGTTTCCCTCCAAATCCCAATTATTTACAACTTGTACAGCCCATTATTTTCAGTCAGGCAGTACGCAAAACATGTTATCATTCATTTTACATGTACTGTATCAACCAATCAGCATGACCTAGACTGTTAAAGTGTGACGTTGTACACTAAAACCGTGTCGATGTGCGCTCATCTTATTCTTGGTAAATAAGCGATCACCGTCAAAGCGAAGGAGACTGGTATAAAAACATCGGATTGCACGATTTTTTACTATTTTATTGAGTACTACTCTTAACCTCTACCTCCTCGTAATTGTGAACGTTTCCTTAACGTATTTGTTCATAAAATAGACTATGTACCGAAATTTCAAACGATCGTATACAATATTGACTCATACGATGTAAACGGCCCAGATCAAGCAATAATCAAAATTTAACTCTAAATAGATCGTAAATAAATACAATTAGGCATCATCTGGATGATTATATTCAAAGTACTACCGGTATTAAGGCAGACATCTTTTATTAATACCAAACGAATTACCTAAACCTCATACATTATGAAATAAGATTACGCTTCTTCAATCACATGGCTGATGATAACAAAGGGTATAAAATACTCTTTGATGATAACCTTAGCCAGACTTCGCGGAGCAGCTATACAGTAGTTTAACAACATGCATCTCAATGAGCAACATCTTGACATTTACAAAAAAACAAACAAATAGGTCTCACAGCAAATTTTGAAACCTAATTAAATGAAATAATATAGAAAGCAACTCCTTTACTACCATTTATTTACTGAACGAGCCAGTCAGCTTCTGACCTACTTTTGTTCATATCGGCGGCGTACAAAGAGTCAAATGACTTTGTGTCTGGCAACCTTGGTGTGTGTCTACAAGGAGGAGCCTGGAATTGGGAACGTTTCTCACTGAATGTAGTAGACGGTAAGCAGAGTTATTTCATAAGCAACTAGTAATGGGCCTCTACCAAACAATTTATTTCGTTCTTAACAAAGTATCAGCAGAAAGTAAGCAAAATGATTGTTTAATCGTGTTTTGAAATAATATAAAAATTGAATTGAATTGACTAGACAGTTTAGCTAGCACATTACTACTGCTCATGTTTTTCTTTTTTATATTGTGTATATCTGTTAATAATTAACAGAAATTTGCAATTTTCTTAGAAATATTCCTAAAACAATTGAAACTTTCCATGAAATACTTTCCCTTTCCTTCCAGTAAGGTTGAATTTTTTACCTTGCACCTTTTTTCTTTACTATCCCTTTAATATCTATTTTCTTTTTAATATTGTTTCATTCTTTTTCTTATTTCATTTTTCATACTTACCTTTCTTTTAGTTTTTTCATTGTCATTTTCTTTCCACTATTTTACTTCTTTCTTTTTTTTTCTTTCCTTCCTTTTGTTATTTCTTATTATTTTTCTTGTTTTTGTTTTTTTTTTCAATTTTTAAAAATCTCTTCTCTTTTTCTTTCATGTCTTCTTTGTGGCATAATAATCCATGGGGACAGCAGGGCTCGATTTAGTACTAGCCCGGCGTACAATGTCTAGTAAAAACCGCTCTGGGCTAGCCTATTTACTCCTCATGTTGCCCGGTTGTCTAGTGGAGAATTAGCAAGAAAAACATTTTCTTTAAAAAAAAAAAAAAAGCGGAACTTTCGAGACAATCCCTGCACAGGAGGTACCGCAGCCCAGAGAGTACACTCTAGCTAGCTTTCAGACATCTACATGCGTGAGTGTTTAATTATTAAGATGATCCCCAAGTCATTCACCAACCACTACAGGATGGCATGTTATCTTTCTCTCAATAGAAGATCGTTTGATCGTTCAATCTGGTTTATCTACCTTATTCATATTATTTTCTCATAATGATATTTTTAAAATGTTCAACTTTTAATAATAAGTACTTCAATGCTATAGGTAGGCTAGCCTAGGCCCTAGG